TTCCCCAAAACAGTTGAAGACGTAGCCGCCGACACCTATGCCGCCATCCAGCATTGAACACGTTGATGTTACCACCGTTAGTCGTAGTTATCGCCGCCATTTGTGTCGTCATCGCTGTCGTACGCCACCAGGTGGGTGGCTGGACTCATTTACAAATAGAACATTAGGACTACTTTGTAGAGTTTACGGCTAAAGGACCATATCCTTATGTGTTTACGGCTGTAAACTATTATGGGGACTTGTTTTGATTGTTATTTAAGGTCTTAAAAACTTCTAGGAAGGATCAAGGTTGGCATCCAAGGCTTAGGAAGGAACTAGGGTCCATTTAGACATCTTAAGAAGGGTTTACGGCCCAAGAACATCCTTGGCCGTAAACTCCTTTGTTCTTATGATTCTTGATGATTTTCAAGTGTTATCAAGTTCATATTAAGCACACAAGAAGCTAGGACAAGTGTACTTACAAGATAGAAGCTTGATTTGGTGTTTAAGGTCCAAGAACACTAGTGTGTGTTCTTGGTGTTTTGAAGAACACTTGAAGATCCAGTTGAAAAGAAAGAATGAATGGATGAAATGATGTATAACAACTAGATGTTAGGTTATAACAACAAATCAAGTCGAGAAACACTTACGTTTTTGGGAGATCGGGTGAAGAACGGGATGATAGTTGAGAGAGAATGGGGAGTACTCTTGAGGGTGGAAGTGAGAAATGAAGAGTTTGGGGAGTAAACTCATGCCTAAGGCATGAGTTCATGGCCATGGGAGAGTTTACGACCCAAACTCCAAAATTTTTGTCGTGAACTCTTTATTAGGGTGCATTGGGTGGGTTTGCTACTTCAAGACCCGAGACGGTACTTCCTTTCTTTCGTTCGTTTGAAGAATAAATAATAAAAACACTCAAACGGACTTTTAAATTGGCTATCAATTATTAGAAATGTAATTAACTTTTAATTGAAGTGATTGACTTTAGAGTTTGTACGAATGAAAATTTCGGGTTGTTACAGAATGTTACTAAGCTCCCACTAGCTTTATAGAAAATACAAGAGGTATTTTGATTTAGAATTAAATCACACTATGTAATTATCTTATAAGAAAGAAGATTCCTACTTTGAGATTTTTAGCTTAAATTTCAAAAGATTTTTCATTCATGTATGTTTTCTCTTTTAATAACTCATTTACTCTTTAAATTTATGATATATCGAGGAAGATTAATCAAACTCATATTTGATACTCATACATGAATGCATCTCTATGTATCTTATTATTTTCCATTCAACTATCGAGCATGTTCAACAATTATTGAAAAACTTACTAATTTCAAACTATGATACATTTAGTTTATGGTTCTTTAGCTCTTAAAGTTCCATATTGCTCCCACTTAGAAAAGAACTATTTGATTATAAGTCTTTTGGAATGATAATCAGTAGGATTGTAGAAACTTCACCCTAAACAATCATTTAGGATAGTTGACATAAAAGAAATTTATAGATGCTAGAGTGAGTTCAACTTATTGTCTAACATAAGCTCCATAACTTTATACCTTTTTTTTAGATAAGAGTAGAACGTTTCATCCTTATTCTAATGAAAGTATTTAATCTACTTGTTTGGTTGGAAACATATATATTCAATATATATTTGTTATAGTATGCACAACTCCAAAATTTTATAAAGTAAACGGTTCTTTAAAACAATCATATAACAGGCTACAAGGTCTGTGTTATCTTATTTAAAAACTTGTACTATCAACATTCATCCAGTGGCTAGGTGACCCTATCCCACTAGAGAACACGAAAGTTGCCTTGACCATCATAAGAAAAATCTAAACGACCAAGTGATCTTATGTCACAATGACCGTATGGATGATAAGTGAGTGGTTTTTGACGCACTGAGTTGTAAATCGATTCCACAACTCCTAAGATGTTCCAAGAAGACTTGGTTTACAAAATTCATTTTCGTTATCATAATGAAAGGTTAATGATGGTCTCATTAAGTTGTATTTTAATCTTCACTATGAAGCAACTTGAGCAAATTAAAAGTGTCAACAATAACAAATAAAAGTCGTGAGTAAAATTGATTAAGCATCTATCACCAAATCTATTCATGTATGGAAAAGATTATATATATATATATATATATATATATATATATATATATATATATATATATATATATCCAAGGTTCTAAAAGGCGTGAGGCGTGGCGTGACAGGAAGGCCAAGCCTCAAGCTCAACGAGCCATGGCGAGTCATGACAATTTTCAAGGCGTGATGTAATGCGACGATTTTATATTAATTTAGAATTATATTACCACATAAATATAGATTTATATCAAATATAACTAGTTTTTAGAAGTGTTGTATCAACAACTAATAATAAAAAGTTAACAAAAAACACAATACTTGTATGTCCGATTAGAAAATGCATAAAAAGAGCAAAAAAACGTGTTTCAAACGAAAAACACATGCTATAATGCGTCATGGCATGTCATATCATACATTGCCATACGTCACGCCTAACAACAATGTTATAAAGCTTTTCGTAACAGTGGAGTTCCGTCTCACGCCATGGCACGCCTTTTAAACACTACATATATCACTTATATATAATTCTTTGTTAAACCTTTTGTTCTTTAACTACCAATAGATAAATACATCTGTGAATCATCTTTCCATATAAATATGATTCAATTATATTAAATGAATTAAACTTATTTTCCTTCAAAAATTCCATCATTTTGAAGTTTGTATATATGTTTCAGATTTATATAGTCATGATGATTATTAAATTGATAAGTTTGAAACAAATATCATTTGAATTAAATATCAAATATTATTGGATTTATCTTTAAAGATCTTGTGGGATGATCTTACAAGGGTGGTATCTTCGTTACATTACATAGTGTGTAATGTGATCATTGATCACGATAAATGATTCTACTTTTAACATGGTCGTAAGCCCACCATTTATAGCAATGGGTATAGCTATTAACTAGGTATATGAACAAGGAGATTACGTAATTTCATTAAGGGAAATTGATTTAAAAAGGTAACGAAGTTTCAAAAGTGTACAAAAAGATCATTGTTTATTTTTTTGTGCACAAAATACCATTTTACCAGCTATTGTAGCTTATCTGTTTTTTTATTACAAAAAATACCATTGTTGTTTTTTTATTACAAAAAATACCATTAATGTTACTATTTGTACACAGAATACCAACAAAATACATATGTGTTCAACTAAAACATCGTGGTAACCATGTACTTCGGGTAAATGGGATGAGAATAGCGTAATCAACAAGTGCTTGTTTGATGAGATTGTTTAATGTTTGTTGAAATTGTTGGAAGAGATCTTACTTCCACCGTATGATTCACCGAACAAGATTACAGGTGACGCTTCGGCTGACAAATTTCTCTGCAAATCGGTGATGAGAAGAGCGTAATCAGCAAGTGCTTGTTCGGTTGTTAGATAGGCTAAAGTAGAAGCATTCTTGAATGCCTATTTCTAGCTTCCATATGGCATCGATTCACCATACTATCGATGCTTGATCAAATCACGCAGCTTTTGATAAAATTGTATTATTAAAGGTCTGCAAGTGAAGAAATTAATGTAGAGTAGAGTGATTAGGGCTTTTTTACTTCGGGGAAGATGACCATGGCACCAAAACGAGGGGCGAGTTCCCAAACAAAGTCGGTGTTGGCAGCAAACCATTCGATGTCGCCTTCGCTGCCACAATAAAGGAAGATTGGGCCCAAACGATTAGGGCCTACGCCCACCCAGTGATCGGAGTTGATGAGATAATGTTGTTGGAACTTGGGAAGATCATTGAAGCTGAAATGATCAAGAGTCTGATCAAAGTATCGTGTCTCGTAAGTGTACTTCGGCTGAACAAGAATGTTTTAGGTTTTGAGAAGCCGTGGGGATTTGCCGAGAAACGGAGGTGGCCGGCGAGATTCCAGCGTTGATGAAAGTAGGCAGGTGATTAGGAGGAAGAATAAGAAAAAGGGTTTTGCCATGGTGGTAGAGGGTGGCGATGAAGAACAGTAATGGCCGAAGTGAAGTGGAGGGTTCTTTATAAAAAGTAGCTAAATTTCCATTACATTCAAAGAAGGGAAAATGACTTAAAAATGTAACGAAGTTTAAAAAATGTACAAAAAAGACCATTGTTTTTTTTGTACACAAAATACCATTTTAGCGGCTATTGTAGGTTACCCATAAGGTTTTAATTAAACACATGTGTACTTCATTGGTATTTTGTGTATAAAAAATATATTTTAATGGTATTTTGAGTACTAAAAATAAAATAATGATATTTTTTGTATATTTTTGAAACTTCATTACCTTTTTAAGTCATTTTCCCTTTCCTTAAATATGATAGTACTTATGAATTTATACATTAACAACTAATTGTGAGATTTATTTATTATTTTGGTTTATTCAAAAAAAAAAATTAGATATGAATGTCTAAATACTTGAGAAGTTTTAATTTATAAGAAACTAACAAAAATATTGAATTATTAAAATTAAAATGTTTATTCTTTTTTAAATTTAAACAAATAATTTAAATTAAAAAAATAATGAGACTTTAATTTAAGAATTTTGAAATTATATGATAAATTTATTAATAAAATTGATATTTATTTGTTATTAGTTATTACATTTAAATAATATATGAAATTTAATAAAATTAAAAAAAAAAAAAACATAAAATAATTTGTAGAAAAAAATTAATTTAAAATAATTATAAAACGACAGACAAAGTGAATGAGGGTTTGAAAGCGGCAAAAATATCATTATTTGTTATAGTAGAACTTTGGAAAATAAAATAGTTATGCTTGCTTTAATTATTGAATCAAAGAGTAAATATAATTCACTTCCAAATGTTACATTTTTTCTTTTTTGCTACAAAGGCCTTGTGCACATACCAATTTTACGAGAACATTATCCGGCTATTGTTATACAAATACCATCTTCCTAAACGTTTTGGCAACACAACACAAAAAATTTCACAAATCAAAATTGAAATGAGCAGCGATCATCAAGATACTCGTGGCTTCCAGCCACCCACCACCATCGACGAACTCCACCGCCAACCACCTTCATCCATCACCGGAAACAACCTCCTTAATCTCCCGACACCACGTCTTCTCCATACTCCATCTCCAATGTCGCTTGAGGTTGAAACTAAAACCCCAGAATCACCAATCTCAGCCTCTCTCGGCAGCCCAATCTTTACCACTCCGTCAACTTCTTTCGACGGTGCAGCACCGGCAACCACCACCACCACTACCGTGAATACCCACAACCCACTTCGCCAAACTTCAACAGACACCAATTCATCGGCCAATCAAGATCCGCCATCAATCGCCACAACACCATCCAAAGTCCCGGAGCCACCAACAAGAAACATCCTCCTCCGCCACTCACATTTCGATCCAATCAAAACTGATTCTCAAGAACATCAGAAGAACAAGACGCCACCGCCGCCGCCAAGAGTTTCCACCACCCCAAAATCAAGAACTTCGCCACCAGTGTCTCCCACCCGTAATCAAATCCCCGAATCAAAGGTTTCTATATAACTTCTTTAACTATAGTTTCTTGTTCTTAGAGTTTAAAGATAAATTGAGTAATTAAATCTTTCTTTAAACATTATTTGTATAAATGTAGGTAATGGTGGAGAGAGGTCGCAATGGTTGTTTTAGTTTCCAGGTGAAATGCTCTTGTGGAAATCGCAAAGGGATGTGTACGGATGTTGTCTTCGTCTTCTTTGTGATTCTAATATTTTGTTTCTTTTTGATGATAGGAATAGGAGTTAGCTTTCTTCTGATTTTTTCAATTTTTTTTCATTAGTTGTTTCACAATACATGCACGTTGACATGTGGTTGTAATTCTACATTGATTGAAGTTGATGCAGTTCTCCACTTGATGTTCATTTGTTTCTTTAGTTAAACGAAATATTCATGAATAGTAGGAAGTATATTGATTCCGACATTCGGTTCGTAATGATTGATCATATTTGATATACAAAAAACTATTTTCTTATCTGCATAAGAAAATTCATTTTAAAAAAAAAGCAAAAAAAAAAAAAGTATGAAATTATATATTACAAGCCATCCAATTACGAGTGATAAACACATATAATTCACACAACGTATATAGGTATTTAAATCACTATATATAATAAGTGTTCCATAAAATGGTTATTTAATAAGTAAACGATTAACAATAATCATCTATATCAAATAATGAGTCATTCAAAAATACAAAATGTTTAATAAAATATTTTAATATAAATTTGGTTATCTTTATCTCTTATATCATTGGTTGGTTTTCACCAGGGATGTATGAGGTCCCTTTGATCTTTGAGTTGTGATGTTATAATATATCTTGTCTGTGTATGAGACAGCGATTTCAAAATCATATATTTTTTTGAAGGGCAATAAAGCAAATATTATTAGCACAAAGAGAAAAAGAAGACTTTCCAATTGATATTGTATGTAGCTGCTTTTTCCAAGGGAAAATTACCCACCCTAGGTAAGAAAGTGAATGTTTATGTGAATCTTAACGATGTCCAACCGAATAAAGGAATTGGTCAATGCGACCATAAGCCACTCAAGGGAGTGAGATTGTCAATATGAGTTATAAAGACTGAGAATCTTGTCATTTAGAACCCATGGATGATGTCAGAGATGATGTATTCACTATCTATGATGATCTCACTTGGTATCACCACTAATGGAGTTCTCTTCTTTTATTCAATGAGGTGCAACTTGAAATTCACTTAGAAAGAAAGGTTATAGTGATTTCGGGAGGAGGTCCTAGGAATACAATTTGATGATTAACTCGGTAGGATGAGGGAATAAATATGTACATGTAGAGAGGTTAGGATAATTGTTGCACAACCTCGGCATGGCATATAATCAATATTGGGGGGGGGGGGTGATGAGTTTAAAGAACAATTGAGATTAATATTTTGAATCCAATATCCAATTTAGATGGTAACACACGAGATATGCAAGATTATGGGAGAAAAAAAGGAACTTTAAGATTAACATATGCATCAAATAAGAAGCACAAATTTAGTTTTCAAATTTCACTTTGAAGAGGAACTTCAAGATTAAAATAGCAAAAAAACATAAAATATAGCAGTTAATTGAAATAAAATCATTAATCAAATATGAACTACTTAATGAATTTCCGAATATAATAAATTAATTAGAATAATTCATTTATAAAATTATAAACTCGAAATAACTATAAATAACTATAAATCAAGTAATATGCCTACATCAACAATGTTAAGCATCCCCAATTTTCTTGAGCTTACCCGGTCATTGTTATATAATAGCGACTTCTTAAACCTTTTGGCAACACATTTAGAATTCATAATTCAGAAATACAAGTGAAAATGAGCAGCGATCATCAAGATACTAGTGGCTTCCAGCCACCCAACACCGTCGAAGAATTCCACCGCCAACCACCTTCATCCACCACCGGAGACAACCTCCCTGATTCCACCACACTACGTCTTCCCCATACTGCATCTCCATTGACACCTTCGATTGAAACTAACGAATCAGAATCACCCATATCCGCCTCTCTTGGTGGTGCAATCTTTACCACTCCGTCAACTTCTTTCGACGGTGCAGCATCGGCAACCACCACCACCGCGAATACCACAACCCAGTTCCCCGAACTCTAACAGCCACCGATTCATCCGACAATCAAGATCCGCCAACAATCACCACAACACCTCCCAAAGTCTCGGAGCCACCAACAAGAAACAGCCTACTTCGCCGGTCACATTTCCATCAACAGCTTCCTCACCGTAAAAACAAGACGCCGCCGCCTGGAGTCTCTTCCTCACCCCCAAAATCAAGAACTTCGCCACCAGGGTCTTCCACCACCCGTAAGCATATTCTAGAATCAAAGGTTTGTATATATCTAACTTCTTTAATTGTTTAGTTTCTTGTTTATAGAGTTTAAAGAACAATTGAGAAATCAAATCTTTCTTTAAACAGTTGAGAAAAATGGGAGATAAAGTTTGTGAGATTAAAGAAAGATTTTGCGACGTTATCCGTCAATCTCAAGAACATGCAGAAAACGACAACCCTCCACAAGTATGACATCTTATTCACAATTTTCTCACTCTTTAAATTGCATTAATTAATTGATATATCAAGAACATTATATACGTAATTATGTAGGCAATGGTGGAGAACCCTCACAATGGTTGTTTCAGATTGGAGTTGAGTTGCTCATGTGGGAAGCGTAAAGGAATTTGTAGGGATGTTTCCTTCTTCCTCAATATCGTACTAATGTTGTGTTTCTTTTTCATGATAGGAATATCATATAGCTTTCTTCTAGTTTTGTCAAAGATTTTCCCATAGTTGTTTGCTACATCTTGAACTTGGTGATTGTTGTAATTCTACATGAAGGAAAGCTACGAGCTATGCATTTCTCAACTTGATGTTCATTGTTTTATGTATCATTCTTTACATTAGGGTTGGGGGTGTCTCTTTTACTAAAGAAAGAAAGATAAGAAACCCAAAGAATTTTTCAAAGTTTGCATGAAAGTGGTGGGAAGTATAGTGATTTCATTCATGATGATTGATCGGATATAGTAATCTACTTTCATGTTTTATTACATTATTGTGTTTATAAAATATTTCTTATTAAGAGATTGTATATTGAAATGTATGTAATCTTAATATTGCACTTTCAAATCTTTCATCAGAAATTATAATATGAATATTATATTGAATGATAATACTACAAAAAATATTATGTTTATATGACTAAAGCCATGTAATTTTATTATCATGACATCAAACGACTATGAATCTTGTAATGAAATAAAGAACTTTAGTTCTTGATTCCAAACTAACATTTTAGTTTGAAGCATAACAAAATCCTTGATATTAGATTTTGTCAAAAAATGAATTGACAACAAGCATTGGCAATAAAAATCTCTTTAGGAAATGGAAATTCCTAAATTCACACCTCGCATTCTATAATGATTTGATGAAAGGAACGAAAAGATGGATGCCTCTATTAATTATTGGGTTAAACAATGTCATATCAATAACCCTTTTGCTTGTTATAATCAAGCATATGTATGACCCCTACTATGGAATTAAACTATCCGAGCTATATCTAAGATACCAAAGAGTTTAGTAAATAGACACACAAGATGTATTCTAAATGTATTTTAATATAAATGGTAAAGTTTGCCATTTTTTTTTTAAATCTTAATTTATTATCCACTCTCGTAAATAAAGATTTTCTTTTTTTTGTTATATGTAATACCCTCATTTATTTTGTTATATGTTATTTTATGGTTATTTTGAATTAATTTTTTTTCAAATAACATTTTCTAATTTTTTTCTATATTATTAAATTTCATATACTATAAATGTCATAACAAATAGGTATCAATTTTATTAATACAAACTTTTCTTTTAATTTCTAAATTTCTAAATTAGTTTAATGATATTGTTTATTACAATTCACTAATTAGTATGTATGACATGGTAAAATTTAGTTTTTACATTGATTTTATGTTTTGTACAAACAAGTTCCTGAACAATTAATTTAGTGACATAATGTGTAGTTGTAAGCTATCTTAATGATTTAATATTAACATATTTTTTAATTTAGTTTTACGTGTAGACTATCTTCATTGCTCTAAATGGAAACAAACTATTAGTTTAGATATACATTAAATGGAAAAAGGTTAAATGTTGTTTTAAAAACCTTAATGCTCCATTTGTTGTATTTACAACAAAAAAATAAAAAATAAAAAATAAAAAATAAAAGATATTAAGTAAACTTACCGTTATAAATGAACATTTAAAAGAAAATAACTATTTTATTGGTTTTTGAAAAATTATCATTTACTCCTGAATGCCTCATTTTGGATTTGATATTCAAATTTCAAGTTCTTTTTTGTTTTTCCAAAAAAACATTTAAAGAAATTTCTCTTCTTATGGTTAAAATGTCCATTTTCAAGGTGATTAAAGGCACAGTTTTTCAATCTAATGTTTGATTTCATACCCTAATATCGTATATAGTTAACAGTTATTGATAAAACTCACAACACTACAGATCTATCCACAACATCAACAGATCTTTTATTAAATGAGAAACAAGAAACAAGATCCAGTTGGTTTTCAAGAACTTACAATAGAAAACTCACTACATCAACACTCACACTCAGACATATACAACAATCAAAAGAGTATTTGTTTACAAACTAAGTCTAACAAGAATAAGACTCTAAAACTAGAACAAACCCTAAAACGTAGAAGACGAAGATGACTTAAGAACATAGAGACTCAATAGACTCAATTTGTGTGTGTTGGTGAAAAATGAACTTAATGACTCCAGATATCACAGCTGAGCAAACATATATACACGTAACGACCCGTCTATGGTATGTTGTTTTTATATTATTTATTTAGAAGTTTGCAGAGGGACTCGGCGAGTCTATTGCCCGACTCGTCGAGTAGAGACGGGATCTTACGCAGTGTTTAGATCAGCGACTCGGTGAATCCGCCTGCCAGGTAGAAACCCTAAATCCCCGGGTTTGCACCCTATTTAAACCATCTTATAAGCCCCAAACTCCTCTCCTTCACCCTCAGATCATCATTTAGCAAACCCTAACCATTCCCTTGAGTATTTGAGCATTTCTTGTGCGAATCTTGAAGTTTTGAAGAGAAGAAGGAGGCTAGATCCAAAGGAGAAGAAGAAGAAGATCCAAGGTCTTGCACCCATTTCAGAGTTTATTGAGGTAATAATCGGATTCCTTCTATTTCTATGATTGATTCTCCTTAATAAGCATATTTAGCCCATTTTATCAATTCCTTAGCTTGTTCATAGTAGAGAGATCACATTAAATTGATTAGCCTTCAGATCTAGTCATGTTTCAGTTCCAAAAATGTAGATCTATCACCTTTATGGAGCCATTTTGCATGATAGCCCTAGATATACTCTTCTAAGTGCCTTTTTAGCCTTTATATCCTTTTTCATGCATATGTACACGTAAAGTTGGAAACTTTATGTGGTAAACCAGCCTTAGAAACTCGGATCTATAAATTGTATGCAGTAGTTTTGAGCAGAATCGAGTTTTTAGTAACTGCATGCATGTGACTCGGCGAGTCGTTCTTCGGACTCGGCGAGTTGAGTCGCGAGTCCCCGATCTTTCCCCTTTGAGTGATTCCGAGTGGGGACCAATGAGTAGTAGAATGGACTCAGTGAGTCGGAGGTTAGACTCAGTAATGAAGGGACTCGACGAGTTGTTCATACAACTCGACGAGTCTAAGACAATCTTCTTAGATTCAAGAACAACTCGTCGAGTTGTTCATACAACTCGGCGAGTCGAATGCAGATAGCCTGAGTTTTAGAATCGAATGGGAACTCGTCGAGTTTATGCCATACTCGACGAGTAGCAGCGAGCAGGGTTGAGAACTGAGAGTAGGGACTCGGTGAGTTGGCAGCCCAACTCGGTGAGTCAGGTCAACTGTAAGTTGACTTTGACCATGAGAGTTGACTTTGACCAGGAGAGTTGACTTTAGCCAGGGGTAAAAGAGTCATTTTACCCCAATGCAGTTATTAGTATTTGATTGAGTGTATTTGTGGAATGGTAGCCAGGGAGATACCGGAGCAGCAGTAGATTGCTTCTAGAGCCATACACTCAGCAGCCAGATCACGAGGTGAGTTTCCTTCCAGTAGGAACGGGTCTAAGGCCACAATGCCAGCCCGTTTAGCTAGTAGTAGTTTCCGGACTTTGGTCCGATGCAGATTTTAGTATGTTTGATGCCTTCGTGGCTCAGACAGGATTTTATGTGTTATGTGTTCCAGGTTACAGCCCGATGCAGTATGCAGTTTACGTGTTTCTTCTAATTGATATGTTTATGCTATGCTATGTTCAGCAGTTCCGGACTTCGGTTCGATGCAGTTAGTTCCAGACTTCGGTCTGATGCAGTTAGTTCCGGACTTCGGTCCGATACAGGAGGCAAGGCCTCAGTAGTTCCGGACTTCGGTCCGATGCAGAGGGCAAGGCCCTGGTTAGTTTTGGACTTCGGTCCGATGCAGTTTCCAGACTTTGGACCGATGCAGTGGGCAAGGCCCAGTATGTGTTTATATGTATTGTATGGTATGTGGTAGTTTGGGGGAGCTCGCTAAGCTTCGTGCTTACAGTTTCAGTTTTGGTTTCAGGTACTTCCGCAAGCAAAGGGAAGAGCTCGGGTTGATGGCATCGCATACACCACAGCTTCAGTTGTCCTGGGAGATGTTTTTAGTTTTTCATAAATGTGATTTGATACAGTTTTAATACAGTTTCTTGATAACACTTTGCTACTGTTTTGAGATATTGACGTATGAGTTTTATTTTATGAGATTATCATAGTGTTTTTAGTAATTGTTAAACAAAAATTTTTGGGTCGTATTTTGGGATGTTTCAAGTTGGTATCAGAGTCTTGGTTTGAGGGATTCGGATACACTTTTGGGTGTGTCTAAACTCAAACTAAGGAAACGGTAAAGATTTCAAAAGAAAAATGTTTTTGAAAATGATTTTTGAAAAAGAATTTAGAAAGAAGAAGAGTTTTTATAAAAGGAAAATGGTGTGGCGTATGCGATCAACCGAGCTCAAGTAAGTACTCCCAAATTACCCATACAAGTTACGTTATGTTTATCAGTTTTAGTTTCAGTAGAACAGCATGCTAGAATAGGACTAAGGATCTAGGAGGATGCCTTATGTGCCTGCTTTATGTGTTTCAGCTTTACAAGATTTTCATGCTAGTATTGAGTAGACAGTAGTAGGATAGCCTGTTTAGGTTATGCCTGATAGTATGAGCTTAGCATTGTATGCTAGTACAGTATCTCGTTGTGAGAATAGATTTGCTTGAGTAATTTCCTGTATCCGAATGCTGCTTGCTTCGTGCTTTGAGGGAATCTGAGTGATGGGAGTTAGCCATTAGGTGAATACGTCACATCGCATGTGATCAGGGTTGAATAATCTCAGAGTGTTGGATTTGGCCCTATTGCGCAGATCTTGTTTGAGTCTAATTGTTGTAGGGACGAGTCTTTTACTCGAAGGATTATCTGACCCTCATCACATGTGACGGTATTCAAGTGATGACTAATTAGTATTACAAGGAGGCCTTCAGCAGCTGAGGACTGGTTTGAATGGAGTCAGAGATTTCCCTAGGGCAAGCCTAGGATGAGAGTAGCAGAGATCAATAGTAGTAGAAGTGACTTGGTGGATTCAAGGCAGTTCTTGAGGAAAGTACGGATAGATGTGGAAGGTAGTATAGGCCCGTACTACTGAAAGCAGAGGATCCATACTCGAATCAAGGAAGGCTGAGACAAGACCAGGAAACTAGTATTG